CTGCTTGCCCAGAGACCCTGTGCATGGTTTCCGGTTGCTTCTCAGGGTCTGATGAGGTGCCCTACCCTACATACCTTGGGATGTAGCTGCAGCATGTGACACTCCTTAGCTGAAGTCTGGAATCCGCTCTTCTGCACAGAACTTCTGGCCAGCAACACCCTCTTGTTTCCAGGTCATCTCTTTCCGCAAGGTGGAGGATTAGCCTATTGAGCCACGGCGCCGGCTCTGTTTCATTGTTTTGGGGAGAAGGACCCAAGGAACTGGCACATGGTGCTCCTTGTGCATTTTCTATGTCGGGGATACATGGCCTGAATCTCAAAGTAGTTTATGTCTTTGCCTCTGCATTGCAGGCCTCTGTCCTGGCCTTCCTGCTCTGGCTGGGCAGTACCCTCCCTCTGTCCACATGCATCTGTCCAGGGGTCACGCATGCTTGTGTTTCTCAACTCTTTGTAGTAAAGGGATGAGTGGTTTTATTTTCAATCTGTCTACAACTCTTCCTTTCATAAAGCCTAGTAACAGGCATTTCAAAAAATAAAATAAAATGAATACAAAATAGAAAAAATACAAACCTCTCCCTGTAGAGTGAAATGAGATGGCATAGTGTTATCTTTGAGACTGCCAGAAGTTTTCATTTCTCTACTTTATCTCATTGAGGCCTGGAGATAGTTTGAGGGCTGATGCTGGCCCACAGATTACACTCTCAGTAGCACTGAAGTGTGGAATGTGGGATACCCCAGGGGACAAGTGGAGATTTCAGAAGGTGTATGGTTTGCTAGAGCTCCCTGTGTTTTTATTTGATTTCAATTATTTGTAATGCATTGTAATTCATATTTATCTGGTAAAGGGTTGATGCATAATATTGTTTTAAGTACAAAAACCCTTAGAGGAATGGAAAACTAGCTTAAATTATTTGTAATAATTTTGTAAAAATTTGCAATAATTTTGTAATAACTTGCTAAGTAACACTGGCAAGGCAAGTGTGGATAACAGCAGGAAAACAGCAGAGTGGGCATTTCTTCAGATTGTTGTCTGAGCTCCCTGTCAGCAATGCTTTGAGTTAAAAAACAAAGGTGGGCATTTGGCCTAGCGGTTGACACCACTTGGGATGCCCACATCCCACGTAAGAGGGCCTGGGTTTAAGTCCTGGCTCTGTTCCCAATTCTGCCTCCCTGCTAATGTGCACCCTATTGGGGGACAGGGGTTGTAGCAGTGATGACTCAAGTTCATGGGTTCCTGCAACCCAAGTGGGAGACCTGGATTAAGTTCCCAGCTCCCGGCTTCAGCCTGGTGCAGCTTCTGGGCAGTGAATCAGCGGATGGGAGTTCTCTGCCTCTAGCTCTAGCTCTTTCTCTCCATCTCGCTGCCTCTCAAATAAAATAAATGAATAATGTTTTATTCTGACATGGCAAGAAGCTGATTTTAAAATTCTAATTTTCAAAAGAATGTTTTAAAATATCAAATTAAACTGACACTCTTTAACGATGGACTTTGCCTTAAGTATATGGGAGAACTTCAAAAATGCTGTAATAATGTAGGTGAGATTGCAGTAGAGGGGCCAGCATTGTGGAACAGTGGGTGAAACCAGTCCGGTGCTGCCAGTATCCCACATTGGAGCACCAGTTCAGCTCCGTGGTAATGTGCCTGGGAAGGCATTAGAAGATGTCCCAAGCGCTTGGGCTCCTGCAGCCACAGGGGAGACTCAGATGGAGTTTCAGGCTCCTGGCTTCAGCCTGGCCCAGATCTGGCTGCTGCAGGCACTTGGGGAGTGCACCAGTGGACTGAAGATTGGTCTCTCTTTCTCTTTTGGTCACTCTCTTTCTCTCTCAACCTATCTTTCAAGTAAATAAAATAAGTCTTTGAAAACTTTGAAAATAAGATTAAAATGTGGACCGTGTTTCCCAACATAAGCTCTGTCAAGTTCAAGACACTTTTGTAAGTGATGCGTGCAGCCATTTAGTTTATCTCTAAATAAGTGAGAGTCCTGGGCTTTTAACCCGTGCTCATGCGATCTTTTCTACACAATTCACTGAAGAAAAATGGGTTCCTTTAAAGAGTTCTTAAGATTAGAAGACAAAGTCAGAAGGAGCCAAATCAAAGGCCCAATGATTTTCCTTTAAAACACTTGCAGAATTGCCCTTTTTGGTAAGAAGTCTGAGCAGGAGCATTGTGGTGGTGGAGAAGGATTTGCTGATAAAGCTTTGCCAGGCATCTTGCTGCTAAAGCCTTGGCTGACATCTCCAAAGCAGACTCAAAATAAGCACAGGTTATCATTCTTAGACCCTCCAAAAAGCCAACCAGAAAAATGCCTAGAACATCCCCCAAACTGTTGCTGCAGCCTTTGCCCTTGACCAGTTGAGCCCCTTTTGCTTTGACTGGACCACTCCCACCTCTCGGTAGCCACTGCTTGCATTGTGCTTTGCCTTTGGGATCATACCAGTAAAGCCAGGTTTCATCTCCTGTTGCCCTTCTTGGAAGAAATGCTTCAGCATCTTGATCCTCGTTATTTAGCATTTCCATTGGAAGTTCCGTTCTTGTCTGCTGCTGACTATGGAGCAGAAAATTTGGCCTGCTTTAATTTTTCAGCCGGGATTGTGTAAGCTAATTGAATTGAGATGTAGGTGGTGTTTTGTACCATCTCACCTGGTTAGCATTGGTCCTCTTCAATTAGGGCATGGACAGGGTTAATTTCTGCCTCACAAATTGAGGTGGATGAGCTGCTGCAACAGACAATGCATCCATGTGTGAACTGCCGATTTCTTTGGGGGCGTTGTCCTCCTGCACTTTTTGGTGCTTTCACCATTCTTCCATCAAGCTTTGCCACAGACCTGCTGTTTATTCTTACTAGGCATTTAGCAGAATTTCTGTTGCTTTGTTAGGGGCTCTCTCTCTCTCTCTTAAGAAGATTTATTTATTTATTTGAAATGCAAAGTTAGAGAGAAAGAGCTCTTCCATCTGCTGATTCACTCCTCAAAACACAGATGGCCGCAGCAGCTGGGGCTTGGCCAGCTTGCAGAAAGGATCCTAGAATTCCATCCAGGGCTCCCATGTGGATGGCAGGAGCCCATGCACTTAAGCCATCCTCCACTGCTTTCCTAGATGTGGTAGCAGGGAACTGGATCAGAAAAGGAGAAGCCGGGACTCAAACCATCACCCATATGGGAGACTGGCATTGTAGTTGGCTGTTTAACCTGCTGAGCCACAGTGCCAGTCCCTTTAGGGCTGTTCTTCTTAGTGCTTTGAACTAGATCTTGTGCAGGCATGGCATCACAAGTTAGTATGTGTTCACTTTGGTGCAAAGCATAGAAATACATGCATGATTTTTTTCATAATATATGTTTTCCACCAATTTTTGAAGAACCCTCATATACTGGGTCTTGAAATAGTCATGTTGGGTTCCTGAACTAGGACCCCGACACGTCGAGATGCGCACCCCAAAGACTCAGATTCCAAACCAGTAGATGCAACACGCAAGAGGATTTATTCAACGTCTGCGCAGACGGGCCTCTCGACAGCACAAAGCCATCCAAAGAAGAAGCCCCAAACAGTTGTTAATGAGCATTTTTAAAGGGAAAAACCACATAATTTACTTAATACACACAATTTACACGCTAATTGGAGGGTTTAAATGATACACACACGATTTACACACTGATTGGAGGATTTAAATGAGGGGGTTAGTGGAGGGAAAATTTTTCTGGCTATCACAGGAGTCACTTTAAGACTTTAGGGTGGGATATCTGCTGCTCACCAGAAGGTGCTCTGCAACTAGGAGTTATCACAAAGCCTCGAGGTGGGGTTCCTGCTGCTAACCACATCTCAAGTGACAGCTGGTGCCTAGGGCTCTTTCTAGGAACTAGCACACTAAGTAGGGCAAAGGTTACTTCTAAGAACTAACTCACTAAGTAGGACAAAGGTTACTTCATCTGGGCCGGAGGGGAATGGCTCTTCATCCCCCCCTTTTTCTTATGGGCAAATTTTAATCTTAAAATTTATGTGCTTCCTTTGTTCCAGAGGGGTTGGTACTGTTGGGTGAGTACTAGAGCTTGCACAGTAGACACCAGGCTTCGTATGAACTGGAGTAAACAGTTGAGGATGCACAGACCAAAGGTTAGAATCAGGAGGAGGATAATGAGGGGGCCCATGATTGAGGATACAAGGGTGGTCAGCCAGGGTTTTGTGTTAAACCATCCTTCAAACCAGCCTTGTTGAGCCTCTCGTTCCCTACGCCTCTTGTCCAGCCTAGCTCTAAGTTTTGTCATGGAGTCTTCTATGACTCCTGAGTGGTCGACGTAAAAACAGCACTCCTCGCCTAGGGCTGCACAGAGGCCACCCTTCTCTAGGAAGAGTAGGTCAAGCCCTCTTCTGTTCTGAAGGACCACTTCGGACAGAGAAGTAAGAGATTCTTTTAGCCTGGTTATGGATTGTTCTAGGGCCTGAATGTCCTCATCAATGGCCCCTTTCAGTTCATTGTAGTATTGAGGACCTTTAACTAGGGCCGTTACCCCAGTCCCCACTCCCGCCAGACCTAATAGGACTGCCAAGGTTAGGGAGGCCGGCTCTCTGTGGAAACGGGTGGGATGTTTGTCATAGAACTCTTCTAGGGTGTTAGTCGGATGGTACATTATTGGGGACACCAGCCGCACCATAACGCAATAATCCTGGGTGGCATTAAGAACTGAGGGAGACACACAAGGAGTGAGTCCCGTATTACAAGCCCACCAATTGCCGTAGCCCGGGCTAACATAAGCATAAGTTGCTAACTGTACACTGGGGATGGTGTTGTTACATAGTTGGGCATGGGACGGGGGAAGGTTCCCCACACAGGTTCCCTGACCGGAGACCTGGGTCAAAGTGAGCCTGGGCTGCATTCTTTCCCATGGGCATTAAACACCTCTAGTAGCGTTGTAGGGTTCGGTGACTGCTATGCCTTCATAATATGGTGGACTGGAGGTCAGGCAAAGCCAGCAAGAGGAGGTCAGGTTGGGATTGGCATGATTAATAATGGAATAAGCCCCTTTTATGAGGTTGTTTAACCCAGCTGCTGGAGGATGGCCCGCACCTGGAGCAGCGCCAGCCGGTCGCTCTCGATCTGAGAGAGGAACTTGGTCTCAAAGATGCCCCTCGTCTTGAGCGGCTCGGAGACCTGCCCGCGGAAGAGGAAGCCCTTCTTGAAGTCGATGAGGATGTTGCAGACGATCTCCCCCAGGTACATGCCGCTGATCATCTTCTCGTACCTCTGCTTCCCAGCGTTTAGAGAATATTTGTCCACCAGTCGGTCATAGATGGTTCTGATGTCATCCAGACAACCGTTGTCACCAAAGGCGCCCCACTCCATGTTGATGCACATCTGCCCCTCGTTCCCCTCCAGCATCTCCACGTTCCTCATCTCCTCCATGTAGCAGGCATTGCAGCCCGTCCCTACAATAAGTCCAACCTCGCAGGTGGGCTCCTCGTAGGCACAGGTCATCATGGTGCCCACCGTGTCATTGACCATGGCCACCACATCCAGGTCAAATTCCTCTCTCCTTTTGATGGCGTCCCTCAGTAAAGTGGCTACGTCATGGCCCATGCAGTCAGTTGCCTTGAAGCCTTTGGTCCAGGTGACCAAGATTCCCGCGTCCAGACTCGTCTGCTTGCAGGGGAACGAGAATGTGAAGCCCAGTGGCATCCGCGGGCCCTTGATTCCCATGTAGTCCAGGAAGTTGGAGATGCAGGAGACGATGTGGTCGAACAGCTCTTCCCCGGTGCCCTGCATGATCTCCAGAGGGATGGCATAGATCTTGTTTTGCATCTCCACTGTGTGCTTCTTCCCGCTACGGATTTTCACCAACAGGACGCGGAAGTTCGTTCCTCCGAGATCCAGGGCCAAGAAGTCACCGTTCTCGGTGCCGTCGGGGGTGCTGCGGACGAAGGAGGGCAGCATCTTGACCACGGCCTTGTCGTGCGTCTGCCTCCTCAGCCCCGCCTCCATCTCGGTCCGCATCCTCTTCTTCACCTCCAGCAGCATCTCCTTGGTGAGGCGGAAGTGGGCCAGGGTCTCCTCTATCTGCCGGTGCTGCTCAGCCAGGCGGTAGGCCACCGCCGTCACCATGGCAGCCCCCTTGCCGCTGCCACTCTCCGACAGCAGGAAGCGCACATCGGAGTCAGGCACCAGGCGCCTCAGGGTCTTGTGGAAACGCCGGGAATACTGTGGGTGTGTCTTGTACAGAGAGCCGTCGACACCGACGGTGGTGCGTAGCCGGGGCGTGCCCTTGTTGTCCCGCAGGCGGTTCAAGATGGCGCCCAGCGTGGCAGCCGCCAGGTTGGCCGAGCGGAACGAGACAATGGTGCACACATGCTGAACAGAAATACAGTCATCGTCGGACGGCTCCACTCCCAGGCGGGTCAGGATCTCTTTGGCGTTGTGGAGGCCTTCCTTATTCTTTTCGATGGCTGACACGTCGCTGGTGTTGAACTTCCCTCGGGTGAGCAGCTCTGGGGTGATTCGCCCTTCGAACAAGAGGCCCTCTTTGGCCATCTTGACCTGGATCAGCCGGACCAGCTCCCCCATGTACATGCCACTGACCATCTTCTCGAACAGCTGCTTCCCCGGGTTGAGCAAGCCCCGGTCGATCTCCCTGTCAAACTCAGTGCGGATGTCTTCCAGGGCGCCGTCGTCACCGAATGCCCCCCACTCCGTGTTGATGCACATCCTGCCCTCGTCACCCTCCACCAGGTCGATGTGCCTCAGCTCCTCCATGTAGCACGCGTTGGTGCCGGTGCCAATAATCAGGCCGACTTCACACTGCTGGTCGTCGTAGCCACATGTCATCATGGTCCCCACCGTGTCGTTCACCACAGCCACGATGTTGGCGTCATAGTCCCCTCGCTTTTTGATGGCTTTGTTCAGCAGCTTGACCACATCTGCCCCTTCCACGCCGCTCGCCTTGAATCGCTTTGTCCAGGTGATCAGGACAGCCTTGTCTATTTTTGATTGTCGGCAAGGGAACGAGAAGGTGAATCCTACGGGCAGTTTCTTGTCCTTGATGTTCCTTTTCTCCATGAAGTCTCCCAGGCATTCAGCAACATGATCGAAAAGCTGGCTCCCGCTGCCATGCACGATGTTCTCGGGGGTTTCGTAGGCCTCGGACTCCATGTGGACATTCTGCTTCTTCTCGTGATTCACTTGCACCCGCAGAATCCGAAAGGAAGACCCCCCGAGATCCAGGGCGATGAAATCTCCCTTTTCGGAACCATCAGGAATGGACCTTACAAACGTTGGCAACATCTTGACTGTGGCTGTTGGGTTAAAATCCTGGGAGAGGCCATTCTTCATCTCCTTCTTGAAGCGAGTCATGATATCTACCAGAGTTTCATCGGAGAGCCGCATGGCGTAGAGATACTTGTCAATCTTCTTGATCTGGTCATCCTTGATCTCGGTGAAGTAGCAGGCCAGGAGCTGCGCGGCGATCATGCTGGCGGCCGGGCGCGCGGAGCGGCAGGTGGGCAGCCGGGCAAGCAGTGGTCCAGTTAGTGAAGGAGGTTTTGCTGTTAGAGGGGATGGTGCTTCCATTTGGCTGATGTTCAGAGGAGATGAGGCTTTTGCATGGGGCGCTACAGATGTATAAACTCCTCGGGTTGGGGTATTATGGCTTGGGGTGGTTGTTCAAGCCCGGACAGTTGCCCCTTTTTTTGCATTTTAATAGTGGGGGTCCTTGTTCTGCTAGGACCGGGTTGGGTCCTACTGGCACTGGGTTTGGGCTCTTTATGCTCAGCCAAATTGTAAAAATGAGACCCTTATCATGGCCATTTTGGTACAATCGGAGGCCCCATTGTTTACCTGCTACCCACTTTTGGTAGTTTTGTCCTGCTTCTGTGAAGGTTATGCTAAGGAGGTTACTTGTAGGACCCCCCCCCTTGGTGGGCCCCGCATAACCCTAATGAGATCCAGTTGGAAAAGGGTTTCTAGTACGTAGTTCCCGTGGTTTTGCAACCCCAAGCCTTGCAAAAGAATTGTTCTTCCCCGCCACAATTACGTTTGTAGGAGTCCTTTCTATCTCTCTGGGGGCACACATAAAAGTCATAGGTTTGGAGGGAGGCTCGAAAGTTGGGCTTGTTACATCTGGGCAGGTGGTGGAGCCTAGAAGGTCCCAGGATAATCCCCATTTTTAGACCAGTAGGTCCCGCATTAGTTTCCTCAAGGGAAAATTCCTCCGGGACTTCCCAATTTTCCGAGCCATCCGCCAGGTCACACAAGTCCGGGGTGAGGGGGGCCACCGTGTCCAGGAGGCGTGAGGTAGCTGCGGGACCATACAATGTTACCCGTGGCCGACACTATTTGCCAAGTTAGGTTTTGGGGGGCATGAGGAGCTTTGGCCGTCACAGTTGAGACAAGCAAGATTAAAAGCATTATGGGGTTTTTAAAAGTCTTAGCTTGAGAGGATTTTGAGTGCGCTGTAATTTCCATCGTGGTGACTCGCCCGAGGTCCCGTCGGTCTCCGGTGACGCTCGCTTGATGTGGGACGCGTGGATACAGGCAGCGACTCCGTCCACCTTGAGAGCCGTTGGAGTGGTCAGTAGCACAGTGTATGGGCCCTTCCAGCGTGGCTTGAGAGTGGCTCGAGAGTCTTGGACTGGTGCCTCTGGACGTAGACTGAGTCCCCGATCTGGAAAGGGTGAGGCACTGACGTGGTCTCGGTCCTGTAAGCTGCAGCCAGGGGCTTCCAAATTTGATTCTGTATGATATGGAGCACCTTCAGTCGAGCCTGCAAGTTAGGCATATCAATAAAGGGATCTAATGCGGAGTCAAGGAGACTCGTGGCTGGAGGGGGTCCTCCGTACACTATTTCATATGGAGTTAGTCCATGGTTTACGGGGGTGTTTTGGGCCCAGAACAGAGCCAGGGGGAGGAGCTGGACCCAGTCTCTAGTGCCAGTTTCTATACCCAATTTAGTTAAGGTCTCTTTAATTGTCCTATTCATTCGTTCTACCTGTCCTGAACTTTGGGGTCTGTAAGCGCAATGTAATTTCCAATTTATCCCCAATGCCTTGGCCACCATCTGACTTACCTGGGAGACAAAAGCAGGTCCGTTATCGGATCCAATTACCTGAGAGAGACCAAACCGCGGGAAGATGTCTTCAATGATTTTTTTAATGACAACTTGGGCAGTCTCTCGCTTGGTAGGAAAAGCTTCCGTCCAGCCTGAGAAGGTGTCTACAAAAACTAGGAGATACTTGTTACCATACTTTCCTGGCTTAACCTCAGTGAAGTCCACTTCCCAACTGACTCCTGGTCACTCTCCCCTGAGTCTTGCTCCTTTCAGCAGTTTGAGGCACCCCACATTAACCTTGGCGCAGGGGACACAGGATTCAGTGACCTGTTGGACTACAGCGTTAAGTTCTGGGATAAAGTAAGGTAGGATCTCTTGTTGTAAGAGCATTTTTAATTTTTTATGTCCTAGATGAGTCCATTTATGAAGTTGTGATAATAGTTCATGAGCCATTTCATGGGGCAGGACAACTTTGTCCTGATACGTCCAAACCTTTTTTTGTTCATCATAGTTCACCCCTAGACACTGGATTCTGTCCAAGTCTTGATCTGAATAGAGGAAGGGGGGTTGCTTGTGATCTGGCTCATGGTGGGCCTCTGCAGCACTTAGGTGTAGAACCTGCGGGCCTAACGCAGCCACTCTAGCAGCCTCGTCCGCCATTCTGTTTCCTTTTGCTACAAGGTCATTTCCTTGCTGGTGTCCTGGGCAGTGGATAATACTCAACTTTTTGGGTAGGAAAAAAGCGCCTGTAGGAGGTCTAAAATTTTGGTCTTATTTTTGATGTCTTTACCTGTTGAAGTTAGAAGGCCTCTCCTTCGGTAAATTTCTCCATGGAAATGGGCTGTAGCAAACGCGTAGCGGCTGTCAGTATAAATGTTGATCTTTTTTTCCGCTAGCCTGCTTGAGAGCCTATGTAAGGGCCACAAGCTTGGCCTTTTGGGCCAAAGTTCCTGTGGGTAAAGCACTCGCCCATATTACGGAGTGTCCATCTACCATGGCTGCCCCCGCTCTCCGCTCACCATTATGCAGGAAGCTGCTCCCGTCCATGTACCAAGTGTGCTCTGCATCCGGCAATGGCAGGTCCGTCAGGTCTTCCCGGGTGCCATGGGTCTCGGCCAGGATTTGGTGACAGTCATGGGGCACCCAGGCGTCGGGCTCCATGTCCGGGAGCAGGGTTGCTGGGTTTAAGGGAGTAGCGGGCCCGAACTGAATCCGTTCCGGATTGAGCAACATAGTTTGGTAGTGAGTCACTTGGGCGTTGGAGAGCCACCTATCCGGCGGCTGCCGAATAATGGAGTCAATGGCGTGGGGGGCCACCACGGTGAGGGTTTGTCCCAGAGTTAACTTATCTGCGTCCTTGACAAGGACTGCTACCACTGCCACCATGCGCAAACACGGGGGCCATCCAGCGGCCACATTGTCCAGTTTTTTTGAGAAATAAGCCACTGGCCTCTTCCAAGGTCCCAGCTTCTGAACCAGGATGCCCTTCACTATTCCTTTCTGCTCATCGATGTACAGCGTGAAAGGCTCGGTCACATCAGGGAGGCTCAGGGCGGGGGCCAATAATAGGGCCTTCTTGATTCGATTAAATGCCCTTTGGTGCTCTGCTTCCCATAGGAAGGGGGTACTGGGTTTAGTAAGGGGGTACAGAGGCGCTGCCAGTTCCGCAAATCCGGGTATCCATAACCGGCAGAAGCCCGCGCTTCTGAGAAACTCTTGCACCTGCCAGGCGCTCTTGGGTGGTGGAATTAGGGCAACTATCTGTTTTTGGCCCTCTGTTAGCCACCGCTGGCCACCTTCTAGTAAATATCCCAGGTAAGTCACCCGTCTTTTGCACACTTGCGCCTTTTTCGCGGACGCTCTGTACCCCAGTTTCCCTAGTTGGTTTAGCAGGGCCCCAGTACCTTTTAGGCAGTTCTGTTTAGTTTCCGCTGCCAAGAGCAGGTCATCCATGTATTGCAGGAGGATTACACTGGGGTTGTTGACTCGGAAGTCTGCCAGGTCCTGGTGCAGGGCCTCGTCGAACAGGGTGGGCAAATTTTTGAATCCTTGTGGTAATCTTGTCCAGGTGAGTTGCCCGGAGAATCCGGTCTCCGGATCCTTCCACTCGAAGGCGAACAGGGTCTGGCTTATAGGACTAAGTCTTAGACAAAAGAATGCATCTTTAAGGTCTAACACCATATACCACTGATGACTCAGAGGCAGGGTACTTAACAGATTGTAAGGGTTAGGCACAGTGGGGTGTAGGTCTTCTGTCCTTTGGTTAACTTCCTGTAGGTCCTGTACTGGCCTATAATCCCCTGTGCCTGGTTTCTTGACTGGGAAGAGGCGGGTATTCCAAGGCGAGTGGCACGGTCTCAAAATGCCCAACTGCAACAGTCTCTTTATGTGGGGCCTGATGCCTTCTTTAGCCTCCTTGCTCATAGGATACTGTCGAATCGACACTGGGGTGGCAGAGGGCTTTAAGTTAATTACTAAGGGAGGTTGGTTGACTGCCAGTCCCACCCCCGCTGATTCCGCCCACGCCTGAGGAAAGTCTGTTAACCACTTAGGTTCTAGAGGGGTTGCATTTACTGGGCCCTTTTCGAGCAGCCAATGTTCGTCCTCTAGGCGATACAGTCAGTATTTGAAGGGGCTGTCCTTGCGGGTCTGTGGTTGAAATCCCCTTGTCATGGAAATGAATTTGAGCCCCCACCTTAGAAAGCAAATCCTGGCCCAGCAGGGGGGTAGGGGCAGTCTGGCACTAATAGGAACGAAGGAGTCACTTGTCCAGTGTTTAAGTGAACCTTTCATTCAGTCGTCCACCTGTACAACTTTCCCCCAGTAGCTCCTTGGACCCAAGAAGTTTTAGAGCTTAGAGGCCCCCTGTCATGGGTTAGCACCGAATGTTGTGCCCCTGTATCTACCAGAAAGGTCACTGGATGCCCCCCTACATTGAGAGTTACCCTGGGCTCGGGGGGGGGGGCTCCTGGCCCTGACTTTCCTATTTGTCTTCTTTTAGGGCTAGGACTGGAGCTGTTCTTTTTTTTAGTTTCTTGTGGTAGTTTGGGGCAGTCCTTGACCCAATGTCCCTTTTCTTTGCAGTAGGCACATTGGTCTCATTCTACTCGGGGCCTTCTTTTGTCTCCCAGGACCCTATTTTGACCTGGCTGTCCCTGTCCAGTACTTTGCACTACCGTGGCCAAGATTTTGGTCAGCTCCCGGCTTCGTTTTTTGTCCTGTTTATCCTCTCTTTGCTCCTGTTCCTTACGTAATCTTTCCTCCCTTTCTTCCTGTGTTTCCCTTTTGTTAAAAATCTTTTCTGCCTCCTTTAATAGGTCCTGCAATTTATACCCCTGTAGCCCTTCTAGCCGCTGCAGTTTGCTTCGGATGTCGGGGGCCAACTGTCCGATGAACGACATAATCACGTCTGACTGTCGCTCATCAGCCAGAGGGTCAAAAGGGGTGTACATCCGATAAGCTTCCATTAATCATTCTAAAAAACCTGCTGGCGTTTCTTCCTGGCCCTGAACAACCGCACGTACCTTAGCCAAATTGG